AAGTTTGACAAAAAGTGTAATTATTACCTTGTTTATGTAACTATAACCCCTCTGTACATCATCATGACAATAAAAAATATGAAATTGGACAGTGCTTTCTAAACTTGAAAGCTCTATTAAAATACATTTCCAAAAAAAATGGTGGGGCATTTATCCCAGAGTAATGCATTTAATTTTCACATAGAAACTTTTAAAGAAATAGTCTTAGAATCCTTATCAGTAGTAAAACTAAGAATCTTCCCAACTATTAACTGATAAAAAAATAAAAGAATATGTGTTTCTTCAACCAAGGCATTCTATTCAATATAAACAGGAGCTAAACTATCATATACATTGTCTGGATGAACCATAAGAAAGCTATACTGAATAATACAGCCAATCTTAAAACAGGACTTTTTTATATTTTCTTTTTATGAAGTGTTGGCCAGGGCTGATTGGAAAAAGGGAATTCTGTGGCTAATGGACAGCCCCAGGAGTCTGTGGCATTGGTAGGGAACAGTTCCTCCATGATGGTGTTGACAACAGAGAAACCCAAATATGGGGTACCTATATATTCTCAACATTCACACTTACATGTGGGCTGCTCATGTGATAAGCAAACCCAATGCACACACATCTGCACATGAACAAACACCAAAGTGTGCAAGTGACTACTGTAGTATCTATATGGATTGAACCAATGTCTATTTCCTGGTTTAAATAATGCAGCACAGTTATACAAAGATGTTGGTACTGGGATAGTCTGGGGGATGGATGCAAAAAACCTCCTAGTAATTTTCTTCACAACTTTATGGACATTTATAATTATTTGAAAATAAATAAAAAGAACATATAATAGTTTTCTTTTTCCAAAGCTTGTAATTTCTCAGTGGGGAAAAAAATCAAAAAACAATGAAACAAGGAACTTTCTTTTTTTAATTTTTATTTATTTTTTATTGTGAAAATACTGTAAAGAATGGTTACAATTAGATGGGCAAGATAATGAGTACATTTCTTATCAAGCATTGTAGCCTCCTCCTTTGTGGCTCAGTGGTAGAGCACTTGCCTTGCATGCCTGAGGCCCTGGGTTCGATTCCTCAGCACCACATAAGCAAAAAGAAAAAAGAAACAAGAAACTTTCTAACTCCTTCATTCTAGTGGCAGAAATGTCTGAATACTTTACATGGAAGTAGACTGCTGAATGCCCATAAGTAAGAGATATCTGACACTCTGTATTTGTGCCCATAGAACTACAGTAGGCACAACACAGTAAAGCTTATATTTAAGTATTATATTATGTATTATATATTATATGTTCTTTGTGTACACGTTGATAATAAAAAGCATGACAGGAAGTAGGTATAGTCTAGATCCATAGTATAACTAAGCCTACATGGAAGAATCCAGCAGGGGAAATCTTCATTGGATGTGTGTGTCTGTGGATTTTTGCAGGTTTTTGTACCACTAAATCTCTGTCATGTTTAGAAAATTTATATATTAGATATCTAATATCTAAACATGTTGATGAATTATTAAATAAATATCACTAAATGCATGTTGTTCAGAATTGTAAACTAAAATACCAAAAGAAACATTTTAAAAATAGAATTAAAAAAAAGATAGAATCCTGTGCCTGAACTGAGCTCCAAAAAGCCAATGAAAATAATTGTTCCCATCACAGCTTTTTTCTATATAAGATCCATAGCTAAAACAGCATAACCAAGAGCAGATTAATTGTGCTATATTTATATAATAGACACTACATGGCAATGACATTCAACATCTGGAAGTCGGCTCTAACCTTGTTCCATCTCTTGAATGGTGAACACATGGAGACTCATCTGCAACTCATTTGTGAAGTGCAAGAGGTGTGGGGAATTTCTGTGTCTCAAGACAACCAAATAATCATAAAATCAAAAATGTTACCAAAGGAGTAATAAAAATTGATCATAGAAAGTTGCGTCTTCGTTTCTGTTAGGAATTCTATAGCTACTAAATGATGTCACTATTTCTACATATAAACAATTCAGAATTAAGAAATAATTAGCAAGGATAATAGTATAGGATTTTGCCTTTGTCATATGCTTAGAGACTCCACATGTGGATTGAGAAATCCCTTTTAGTGCTCAGTAAAATTGTTAGAGATTTGTCTGAACTAGCATATCATTATAAAATTTAGGAAAAATTTTCCATTAAGCAATGATGCAGTGTACATAGCAGAAGTTTGAAAATCAAAGATGAAAACATTCAACTCAAATGTGACTTTTCCACTTGAAATCTGGAAATTGGAGAAACAATGTATTTTGAGGAAAATTTCTTTTCAATTCATAATTGCATACTATCAAAATATCATCTTAATGAGAAGTGAACAACAGATTTTACAATTTCAAGTGATCTCTTAACTTCCTGTTTTTACAGTATTGATCCCTCTATGAAGAGCAGCTGTGTCTAATGAAACACAATATTCAGGAACGAGTGAGGCATGGTGCTTTTTTATTGTGAAAATACTACACAGAGGGGTGTTTTTGTAGTCACAATTAGATATAAACTAGTTATGTGATTGGGTTCTATGTGACCCCAGAAGCATTTTCCCATACTCCTGTCAGGATGAAATGCACAGCAAATCTTGCTGTGTAGACTTAAATAAAATTGAATGAGACGAAGTATGTATGTTTGGTACACACATCCAGAGAGAGACTTTCCCTGATGGATTCTTCCATGTAGTTAGTTATATGATGGACCTAGATTACACCTACTTCCTGTGATTCTTTTAATTATACAACTTGTAGACAAAGAATATACACATATAATTTAATACCTAAATATAAACTTTATGTTGTGCCTACTGTAGTTCTATGGTTATCTCTTATGATGAACCTTCTACTTCCTCCAAACAAGCAACCTGGCCCTGTGAATGGAACTAGACTTAGGATAACCCTAAAACCCCACACTAGTTCAGATCTATTTCAGAACAATGACACAAATGTAAGACAAAAATCAGCATCACATGACCTGGGTTATTACCCTGAGTTCAGAGACACAGAGAGGAAGAGAGTGAGGGCAGAGATGAAAAGTGCTGCCAGGAATCTAAGAACACCAGAAAGTCAAAAGAGAACTGATGGATCAAAAAGGACTCTATGTAAAGGACAGTGTCTTGGTTCAAGTTCCCATCCTCTATTTCAATTAGGCCCACAGAGTGTAACAACAATAATCAGAGTTTCATGCCAAACAGTCCCATGTTGATAATCCAGTAAGTATAAATTGCCACTTTGATATCTTCCTTTGTTCACCAGAAATTAGATCTCTGGCATAGCTCTCCTTCAGACATTCTGAGAGAAAGGACAATTCAAGAATCAACTTTGTTTCATCATTTTGTTGTTCCCCTTCCCTTCCCTAATTCAGATAAATGTATATATAGTACACAGGGCACCAAAATAAAATACAGTGACAACAGGGGATAAACCGTAAGGGAAAACCAGAAAAAAAAAGAAAAAAGAGATAATGCAAGAGCAATACTCACAAAACAATATGTTGGAAATGAACCTTACATCTTGGTGGGACATAATGAGGAAGGGAAAGTGGGAGGAAAATGGGAAAGAGAGTAACAATGTTCGACAAGAAATGTACTTACTAATTTACATATGTAACTGTATCCCCATTGTACATTATCTTGACAATAAAATAGAATTTAAAAATATCAACTGTCCTTGGAGGGACAGGAGAGAATGATATTATTTTACTCAAATCTGACGTGTTGAATGATAATTTCTTATCTTATTTCTTAAAGATAATAAAGATATAATTAAAACAGAATCATCTTTTTCAATCTTTATTACCCTCATGACCACAAAAGTTTTAAACTAAAAATTCAAAGCTTAAATTTTATAGGCTCTGTGGCTCTCTTCCTCAAATCTATCCTCTTGACCATCATTCCATGACAGGTCATCCATTCCCCAGATCCACAGGGGTCCAACCCTGCTGCTTTGAGGAAGGTGGATGGATTCTGAATATGTGAACAGACAGTCCACACAAGAGTTGTTTTGTGATTTGTGTGGAGCAATGTGAGATGAAGGGTGGAAGTGATCTGCTGACTATCGGTTGAAGATCAGGACTTACTATTGCTAAATCAAGCAGAAGAATTGAAGGAGCCTAACTTCAAAACTGAGCTCCCACACAATTAAATTTGTGCCTAAAAAGTCTGAATATTGTTTATTTACATTCATGTCTGGATGAACTAAAACACAAGACACATGAGTAGAAAAAACATTTACATAACATTGTCTTTTAAAACAGGCTTGTAATCCTAGCTACTCAGGAGGCTTAAATCTGAGGATCACAGTTCAAAGCCAGCTGGGGCAGAAAAGTCCATGAGAATCTTATCTCCAATTAACCACAAGAAAACCAGAAGTGGCACTGTGGCTCAAGTGGTGAGCGCTAGCCATGACATGAAAATGTCAGGGACAGTGTCTAGTGTCCAGAGTTCAAGCCCCATGAAATACATATATATGTATATATGTACATATATATGTATATATATGTATAAATACATATATATGTATTTATACATATATATATATACATACAACATGCATAAAGAATCATATAGTCTGCAGCATGATGGATAGAAGTAGAGAACACCTTGTTAACAAAAATAGTAAAGACAAAGAGCATTGTCTATACTCCTTCTCACTCAAGCAAAATTTTAAAAAATAAAATGCAATAGTGATACTATGGGGCTGACAAGGGCACAGGATCAGAGCGCAGGAGGTTGAACACAGAAGAAAGATGGAAGACTATGATCAATGCACATAATACACATATACTGAGAAACCCAGAATCCCATTAATGATTACAGATATGTACATTAATAAAAAAAATAGGCTATCAGAAAATAAGGGAATAAAATCTGAAGCAATGAATCCATTCTTTGTATTAAAGGCAATTCCTGCTTAAATACCGTTATTTATTTTATTATTGCATAAATATCAACTGATACAATTCAGACTCTCCTAGTATTAACTGGCCTTTTCTGACAACATTCTGAGCAGGTGGAGGCAGCAGGAGGAGCAGCTGGGGCAGCCCAGACTCACACTTCAGCTTCCCTGGGGGGTTTTTGTTATGGCTTGTATCACTGTGGGAGGGAAACTGCTATGCTGTTGACAGTAATAAGTGGCAACATCTTCAGGCTCCAAGCCACTGATCCTGAGAGTGAACTCTGTCCCAGATTGACTCCCATTGAACCTTGATGGAATTCCGGACTCCAAAATATCTGCACCGTAGATCAAGGGTTTAGGAGCTTTCCCTGGTTGCTGCTGGTACCAGGCTAAATAATACTCAATGTCCTCACTGGCCCTGCAAGTGATGGTGGCAGTGTCTCCTAGAGACACAGACAGTGAAGATGGAGACTGGGTCATCTGGATATCACACTTGGCACCTGGAAGCAGAAACATGAAAACAAATATCCACACTAATTATCAAGTTATAAGAAGGCATCCCTGAAGAGTAAACATCCTGGATCACACTGAGCTGTGTTAATCCCTAGCATTGTCCTACTTTACCTGCAAGCCAGAGCAGCAGGATCCCCAGGAGCTGAGCAAGGGTCCTCATGTCCATGCTGTGTGCTGACGTGGTCTGACTACTGCCTAATGTGAGCAGCCTATGAAGAAGTCCTGAGCACACTGGGCTGTGCTGTTGGTGCATGCAAATCAGCAGCAGAGTTATACAAAGCTGTCCAGCTGCCTCATCTCAGCAACTCTGCATTCTGAGTCTCAAGGGAACTAGGTCGGGCAACAGAATAAGTTTTAAACACAGAAGAGAATCTCCAAGTTGCTTTCCTGTGATGTGCTCACAACAATGGTAGCTTTGAGGATCAAAGCTTTTTTTCCATCTTATTTCTTTAACTGAGTCAAGACTTGTTCACTGGAGTGTTAGTGCCAGAAATTTATAAACAAATTTTGCAGAACACAAATTTGGCATTTCTTTGTTATTATGCAGGACAGAAACTTTTACAGTAGCTCTGATTCACTGATAATCTGTATGTGTCAATTTATCAGCACTGTTGTCCTGTAATGAATAAGTGTAGCTGTTGTGTTGATAAGAAAATGCCTGGACTTCTGTACTGTGCTGTTCAGCCTTATTATCTCCTTCATCTCTGAGTTTTTGTCCCAGGTGATCCGTACAAGCACGTCCTTTCAGAGCCTTTCTCCCTTCATGTCTGAACAGCCTTTACAATTTTTACTGACCTAGAATTTTGTATCATTTTATATGTCCATTCTGAAGGTTCTCATATTATTCCTTCTGGCTTTTAATCATCTTCACCACAACTACTATGTTCAGAAGCAGAGATAAATTCTCCTTAAAAGGGAGGATAAACTCGGTCTGGGAAGGTAGCTGAGTGGTAGAGAGCTTGCCTTGCATGCCTGAGGCCCTGGGTTCGATTCCTCAGCACCACATAAGCAAAAAGAAAAAAGCCGGAAGTGGCACTGTGGCTCAAGTAGTAGAGCACTAGCCTTGAGCTGAAGAGCTGAGGGACAGCGCCCAGGCCAAGAGTTTAGGCCCCATGACCGGACCCAAAAAAAAAAAAAAAAGAAGGATAAACTTAGGTTATCTTGAAGCCTATTTTGTGGCCTAAACCTACATATGTCTCCTGTTCAGTGGACTCTTCTAGATCCTAAGAGAACACTGTGCTGCACACCTGGGTAAAAGGTATTGGGCCCATGCAAAGTGAGTATGTTGAAATCTCTGAACAGAATCTTGAAATCAATAGAACATGGAAATGTCATCCATATTAGGATAAGGCAACATGGGAGAACTGATTTTCTGTGCAAGGGAGAAACATCATTTTTTACTCCATTGTAGGTGCTGAGATGGAGTGATCCAAGAGGACATCCATATGTGTTCGATTTTCCTGTACAGATGTCAGGGCTCAGGAAGTCACTATTGCATGGGATACAAAGTTGGCTCATCTTATCCATGTTATCACATTCTGAGGAATATCTGAACAAATCTGGGGTTGGGGGCAGGGTGTGTATGATCTGATCATATAAGTGGCAGTAACACCAAGAGTTTCATATCACCCAGAAGAGTTGTTGATCATATGACTAAATTAATGAGGGAAAATTAGAGCCAATGTTCTTGAGGTAAAAAAAGTAAGCTAATTAAATGAAAATTTCATCTAATGTTAGTGACATATTTCAAAGATTTTTATACTGAATATTTTCTGGAAAAAAGAAAATCAGAAAATTTTTCTAAGAATTCATTTAATAATAACCTAATTTTTTGATGTGAGTGAAGTAATTACCATAAATTTACATATGTATGATGTATACATATGTATATATGAATGTGTACATGTAAATATATATATACATATTGATGAATAGATGCACAAGTGGATAATTTTTTCTAATCTAGAAGTAATGATGCTTTCATTTTAATAACAGATAGCACCTTCATTAATTGACCTCATTTATTCTCTCATAAATAGAAAGAGTGGAGAGAAATCAGCTAACAAGAATGCCCACTCGCCGATTTGAGCGTTTTTGAATATTGAATAAATACCAAAGTATTCCATGAAATAAGTTGTAAGTCCTTGGATTAGTAGTGATATTTTCACTAGGGATGTGATATCCATAAACCACTATATATTTCTCCACAAATCCTCACAATTTCAAAGGAAAAAGAACAACTATATAGCAGAGAAATCCAATAGCCAACACCTTAATCTAGAATTGAAATAAAGATCATCAGTAATGATGTCCTTATAGAACATAGCAACACTTCTAGACTTTGCTCACATATATCCATTACTGAAAGAACTCTGAGGGGAAAAAGGCACAAATCTAATCTGAGAGACATTCATCCACATGATTAGTATGTGTTCACCACGAGCAACAAGAAGACAAAATTTAAGACTGAACTAAAACCCTGTTCCTTGGTGGCTTGATTATTGGGATGTGGTCTGACTACTTTGTTCTGACTTAACTGGAACCATATTCCTACCATTCTCTAGAGGTTGAACTATAGGTGTGAACCATTATGGCCATCATGACCATTAAAGTATTCTTTTGTTTGGAATTTTTGTGTCTTGAGATCATTCATCTACAGCCATTTCTTCACAAGTTCATAAACATGGTATGTACAGTGACTAAGACTAAAGATTGAATTCACATGTCTGGTTAAGGGAACCTCAGTGATTTCAAACTAAGATCTTTTTGAAAATATAATGACATAGTGAGCTATATATGTTAAAAAACAAAACAGTAACACATACAATTTTTGACCACTGCTTTTATACTGCTACAGAATAAGAATATATTTAATTTCTTTTTAAATTATATATATATATATATTTTGTAAAAATACTGTACAGAGGGGTTACAGATACATGAGTAAGGTATTGAGTACATTTCTTATCCAGCATTGGTATCTCCTCCTTTGGTTTTCCCCTTCTGTCCCTTCCCTCTCCACTTCCCCAACTACTCCCTTCCCACAACTCCCCCAATGAAGTTGTAAAGTTTGGTTTCAATATAGCATCTTGTACGTCTCATTGTTATAAAGGGCAATCTCTATCCTTATTTCAGCATTTTGCTATATTACCCTCCCCAAAATAGAAAAATGTATATACAAGATGCAGGGCACCAGAATCAAGTACAGTGAAAACAGGGGTTACACCATGGGGGAAGAACATACAAAAGAAACAAAACAATCACACAGTACATTATAAATGTACCTTAAAAAAACAGCAAGAAAGATAAAACCATTTGTGTCGCTATCTTGGGATGCATTTTGCTTAGCATCATTTTATGTGGTCATAGGTACATAGCTTTTGAGCTTTTCTGTTTGTCCTAGACATACACTAGTCCTTGTCAGCATATATTAACTGTACAAGAAGAGTTTCATTGTGACATTTCCACACAAGCATACAATGTACTCCATTAACCTCACACCCTTGATCTCTCATCCTTATCCCCATATTTCCCTTCTTAAAGAAGTTGCATGTGTTTTGCTGGCCTTTTTCATATATTCCAGAGAAGCACTTCAATAATCTTCACGTTCATATAACTTCCTCCATTCATAGTACTCGCTCCATAAAATGCCAACATAGCCTATTTCATTCTCTTGTCATTCATTTGTTTCATATATATATTAATTGTACCAAGGGCTTTCACCATGGTATCTCACTTGTGCATAAATCATATTTCCTTTCTGTTTCTTTTTGCTGGTTCTAGAGCTTGAACTCTGGGAATGACCAATGTCCCTAAGTATTTGTGTTCAATTCTATCTCTCTACCACTTACACCACAGCTCCAGTTTCACCTTTCTTGTGGTTAATTGGAGATAAGAGTGTCACAGACTTTCCTGGCATGCTGATTTTGACCCATTATCCTTATATCTCAGCATCCTGAGTAGTTAGGATTACAGTAGTGAGCCACAGGTGCCAGGTTATATATCATCTTTTAATCAGAACAACCCTCTCTATTAATCTTGCTTTTGGAGACATCAATTGTATTTTTTAAAGGATTGACCTCTTTCCATTGTGTTCTTTTCCTTTTTAATTTTATTTTAAAATAAAATCGTTCAACTAGGGATACAGGAGGACCAATTGCAACAATGAGATGTATAAGTCAATGAGATGTACAAGTCATTATGTCGAAAAACAAACTTTACAATGTTGGTGGGGGATGGGGGGAGAATCAGATGGGGCGAAGGGGGCTAGTATTGGAAGGGATGGGAAGGGGAAACAAAGGGGAGACAACAATGCTTGATAAGAAATGTACTCATTATCTTGCCCATGTAATTGTAACTCCTCTGTATGTTATTCTCACAATTAAAAAAAATAGAATGCTTTACAGTTTAAAATAAATAAATTAATTAAATTAAATTAAATTTGAATCATAATTACATTGTGGATTTTTTTACTAACATCGTAGGATATAAGATAAACTAGTCTTCCATTACTGAATAACAGTGATTAGAACTCCATGATCATTTGGGAATATTTCTTTGATAGTTGTCAGAGATTTCAGTTTACAAAGAAGTGAACAGAAGAATACAAAAACAAGGGGAAATTCCAGAGAAGAATCACAAACAAAAGTTAATACAGAAGCTTATTTGTATACTAAGATATGATTTTTATCTACTTGTCTCTTCTACCCTTTTTGTACTACTTCTGTATTAGGAGACGGTTTGGGCTTGTTGCTACCTAATCCTAAGAATATGTATACTCTTAGCCATGTGCAGTCTTCTTTCTCATATACCATTACCATGTCATTTTTTTCTCCATGAATCTAAGACCGACAAGGCCAAATCTTGGACAAATATTGAGATGATCACAGCCAAGGGCATGGCTTCTCAGACAGGCTATTCAGCTTTCCTGCATATGTTCACTGCAATGGGTTTAGATTCAGCATCTTACAAAGCAAATTGTCTACAAACATTCATAGCTATTTGGAGTGAGAACTTCCATGTGTAATTGATGTATTGTAACAAATTGTTGCAAAAGATGAATTAATAAAGCAAACAGAAATGGCCATGGCCAATTTAAAGATTACAGGTAGAAAGTAATGCACAGTTCCAAAGAACTATCATTTTGAATCTGACTGACTTTATATAATAGGCAAGAATTACTTTCTCTCCCTTTGCTTGTGAACAACTCAGCAAAAACAAAGGGAGACTGGTGCTCTTCACTAACAGAAATGG